TTTTTTTACTTTTTAACTGTTTGCTTATGCAAAGAGAAGTCTAAAGAAAATCGTGGAAAAAAGGTGTAATTATGTGCATTTACACAAACAATTTGTTGAAGTGTGTTGCAGAATTTTTATGGAGTTTTTATGCCCACGTAATTATGATGTAATTATAAAAAAAAATGTATTTTTTTTATATTTTGTTATTTTAAATTTACGTTAGAATTTTGCAGCTCATTTTGAAGCATACTTTAAGGAAACTCTTGAAATATTTTAATTTAATATATATTTTGCTCCTTTCTTTCATCTATATTTCCTTCTCCTTTGCTTTCTAGATATTCCTTAGTATTATTAGTATATTAATTATAATAACATTTTAGAATATAATTTTTTTCTCTTTCTTTGAAAGACCTCAATTCAGATTGATAATGCGAGCAACGATCTTATTGTTTCGTGTCAGATTTATGATTTATGATTTATTAATAGATAATAGATATCTATTTTTATTGAATGAACAACAATGAATTGTTAGTACTATATCATAGGTTTACTCATTATATATATATATTTAATGACTGTGAATCAATCGATTTAATCCGCATCACATTTTCGTATTTCTTGTTGTTTACTTCCTCTTTAAATTCAATCTATATAATATATGTATTTTAAAAAAAATACACCAAATATTTATATGAAAAATTATGGTTTCAAACTCAGAGTCATCGAAAATAGTTTCCAAAAACCAATCTTCACACACAACTGTTGGTTCAAATGATGATGAGCAAATGTTTGATACGGGGTTTTTAAGGTGTGCAAGTCAAAGATCATTCTATGTATACATATACAAGATCCTTGTTGATATAACGATAGGGTCAAAGATCTTTAATCAAAGCTCAAAGTTTTGGACTTAAAAAGCCTTTCTTATAGTACAAGAGTTTCTAATTAGCACTTGAGAAAATTTAGTATAATCATAGGCAAATCGATAAAATTTCTTTCGGCCTCATCTCATTACAGTCTTCTATTTTAATATTTGTCCTATTTTTTGAGGATGCGACTTTATTGCTAAGGATTCTGCCGCCTCTGATAAACAACATTAACTGTGTCAGATGCCGGATTACACAGCTTTTAAATAAACCACACGCTTGAATTAAAAATACCAAATCAACATTTCATTTTCGCACGAAAATTAAATTTTCAAATTTTTTGGCTGTGCATCGTCTATATTATTATTATTATCATACTTTTAAACAATTCACAATAGATTAAATGAATATACCTTGTGAAGCTGGACGCGTGTCCGTTAAAATTTCTTCCTTATTCATAGCGAAATAAATACCAAAAAACAAAAACAGAACAAACACAATTTTCAACTTTGTTTAAAACTTTGTTTCAACACATTAAATTCGCACAGGAGTTAATATTAATATTAATTATTGTTAATTAGACACTAGAAGCACTTTTAATTTGATGCATTACACAAATTCATTTAATTATATTTTATATTTTTTATTTCTATTTATTTGTATTTCTAAAGCGACGGCTAGCGTGCTTTTGTAAACGCACTGAGCGGGTCAGCGAGTGGCTCGACTGGCTGCACCGACGGCAAGGACTACGGCGATGATGATGTTAACGTCTCGATGTACGATTTCAGATTTATCATAAAACCATGACAGAGGCTAAACACTGATGTGTCCAGTGCAGCAGCAGCCGTGGCAGCAACAGCAACAGCAGCGGCAGAGCCAACAACCAACCCCAAAATAGGATAAAAAAAAAAAATGGAAAAGCTGTAGATATAATCCGCGCTCGGTGAGTGGGCAGAGGCTGGCCATGAGTGTGTGCCTGTATGTGTGTGTGACGAAACAAAAAGCACAGCAAGCCAAACCACCCAACCACCCAGCATCAGTAGCAGCAGCAGCAGCAGCAGCTATAAGAGCAGAGAGCAGCAAGCAGCAGAGACGTTGGCAGCAGCATAACCTAACCGCATGGCAGGCAGCCAGCCCACTGTAAATTGTGGGTGGGTTAGGGCTGGCTGCCATATTACGCTGCGAGGACTTTTAGTGGCAACTCTGGTGGCGCATTTGCTTGTTGGCTTGCTTTGATTCGTTCCTTCTTGATGCTGCGGCCGACGTCGACGCTGCTGTTTGAGCGTAGGTAAGCCAAGCCGCAATCTCAATCTCCCAATAAACACCCGAGCAGCGCTCTCTCTTCGCTCACACACACGCACACGCATACAGACACACTCTGGCCGCCATCATGACGTAGCAGCAGCTGTAGCTGCAATGGAGTCTACATGGAGCCTCTGCCTCTCTCGTCGCCACTTCGCCTCTTCGCCACTCACTCTGTCATTCTCTCTCTCTCTTTCACTCGCCTTCTGCTGGCGCAGCTGCGCGGGGTGTTCGCTCACATAATCGTCTTGGGTTTTGACATTTTGTTTTTGTTTTGTAATACCTTCTGTGATGTTAGTGCTTTCGAATTCGTCCCACCGCCCCCTTCTCGGCCTTCGCCCATGCCTTCGCCTCGCCAGTTAACTGTAATTGAATTGAACGGCATTCCGTCTGCTGTGGCCTTTCGGTTACGTTTCTTGTTGTTGTTTTCCTTCGGTGCTCGTTTCGTTTTGCCTTCATCTTTCTAATGTCGCAGCCGTAAGCATACCAGATTTATGGCCAAAACAATAATGGATAGACATCTGCGTTTACGATATTGTTTCAAATTAGATTGTATCAACTTATTCGATTACGTCAGTTACGATAACTTTGTTGTTGTCTTCTTATTTTGGGTATATCTAATAAAATTATGGCAGGAGACTCTATCAAAGTAAAGTAATATTAATATCAATAATAATAGAATGTAATAATATGAAAACGTAATCCAAAAATAAATTATATTAAATACTGAAGTAATAATGAATGAATCCTGAATAGTCATCAAATAAAATATATATACTAATAAAAAAAAATAATAAGAATAATAAAATGGGAAAATATTTCAATTTRAAGTACATTTAAGTTGGGAAATGTAAAATATTAATAATTGTCAAAATAATCAAAAATTTTCCAGTTGATTAAACACTCATATCTATTAGAAATATACGCATATGGGTCCAGCGTAATATGATAAAAATACTTAAGAGCAGCCAACTTAGCTCATAAAGTAGGCGATGCGAATTTCAAAGAATAAACATAACAACAGGACCTTTTATTTTTCAAAAGTAAACCAACAGACACACGCACACATACAATGATATGTTTATGATTTGTTTATTTAATTTCCCTAATTGGATGACATCATTATTTCAAGTCTCGCAGGCTGGAGGCAACGACAATGGCTCGTGTGTATTCAACAATGCTTAAAGCCGAGCGCCATAGGCAAATCCAATAATCGATAAAAGTTCATCCGGCCACATCCTCTTAGCGTGTCCTGTTTTCATTTTTCTCCTTCTATTTTTTGTTGTTGCTCTTTTTGCTGATGCTGTTGTTGTTGTTGTTGTTGCTGTTGAGGCTTTTGCTGCGCTTAATACGCCAACATTAACTTTGTAACAAATGAGATGTCGGAATACAACAATCACCTACCAGCTCCTACACACTCGCACTCAGCCAGCTCTCACCCGCTCGCACTCAGCAGCCTGCCGCCACTCGCACACTCGCTCATACTCTCTCTCACACTCTCACTCGGTCGCCTGGTTTGTTCGCTTTATCGCTCTCTCGCTCGCACTCTCTGCACAGTGTTTGTTGTGCTTGGGACAAAAGTGAAACGAACGCAAAAGTCAAAGCGCTTTGCTCTGGCGCTTTTTTGGCCACGCCCACGCTTGTAGGAGGAGCGAGCGAGAGCGTTATCCTGTAATATCCGTGCATCAAAAATGCCTGCCAGCAAGCGAGCGAGATAGCTGCCAGGCAGCCAGCGAGTGCGACTGAGACGAATATAGTCGAGAGGGTTGGTTCTTGACATTTGAACGGGCGACATCTCTTCTCTGCCAGCATACAGAACGAATTCGCAAGTGTGTGTGGGAGAGTGTGTATGTGTGTGAATGGGTGTGAATAAGAACTGTCTTTTATTTTCACTTTGCTCCTTGTTATTCTCCCTTTTTTTTATTTGCCTGCTCCCATTGTATTATCAAGTGCAGTGCACTTTATTTAATCAATCAAAATTCGCAAATTTCGAGTATATTTCGCAGCGTTCATTTCAGAAGTTAAGTGGGGTTTTTTAGGGGCGGAAACTTATGTAGATATATATTTGTGGAAATAATGAAATGTGATCAAATATGTTCAGATAGTGCCTATTTATTCATTTATATATGACCCTTTGGTTCTATTAGTATAGATAAGAAACGCGTATATATAATAATTGGAAACAATATAACTGTTCTAGTAGCTGTAAAAGTCATATGTGTATATTATCTTATCTAATCAGCTCATACTACAATCTTTGATTACCAACTGAACAGTGCTCGTTTCATATCCGAGTCGAAATCTTCCCAAGTTTTGCACRTGATATTTTCTATTCTATTCTATACGATTCTCTTTATCTCTATGTCTACACCTGTATGTTTAACTCTGTCTGTAGATACCTGTATCGGTATCTGTGTGGCTTAAACTTATTCAGGTTGATAGCCACAAGTTTCATAAATTCACCAGTTTTCAGTCTCATTTCAAGTTAATCAAAAGATCATACAAAATGGTAATAATTATACACCCAAAGACCTTCCAGATATATGTTGCATAGTACAAATATAGCAGCTACACTGAGAAAAACTGTTGCCCAACCAGCAAATACCTATACCCCAAGCTCTTCATCTCTCATCACATCGTTTGTATCTGTTTTTGAGATCTTCCAAATGTTTCGCTGCACATTTAATGCTTGAATTATTTTGGCAAAGCAGCGCATCTCTTTTTATTATATACAAATACAAATGCAAACATTGCAAAGTCAATGACACGTGCCAGGTACACAGAGGTAGAGTTATACCAGGTAAATTCAACCAGAAAAACCAGTTTAGCATAAACAAAGAACAATTTAAGTCGCTTCGTTTGGCAATTAATTGCTTGCTCGTCTTTAGTTAGCAACTGACCACGCCCAGCGCTTCCTGCCCGGGGTCATGATTCTGACATATTTACTTTTCAGCTCGTCAATGGCAGCAGGACAAGGAAGTTGCGAGCTGGAAGTTGAAGTCAAGCTGTTTGGCAATCAGATAAAGTGATTGACGGGTTGGTTTGACAGGAGATGGAAGGAGAGGCGAATGGGAATATAGATGAATAGTATTTAGTAATTGTATATTAGATACTATGAATCGGGCAGTTTTAGAGGAAAGTAGTTTACAAATTCTTGTATATTTAATTTATATATGTTTTATTGACGGCAGGAACTGAGAGAGGGCGAAGAGTCAGGGAGAAATATAGTGGGATAGATTACCTTATACACTTTCAAATCTTTGCTGTAGCAGTGTTCCATTTCGGATGTATTGAGAACTAAAACTTCTATAAATGTTATATTCCCTGAAATAATCACAGCAGAAAATGTTTATAGGAAGCCTGGAGCCGTTAGATTATAGATCCTGTAAGAAACTGTAAAAGGAAAAAATCTTATAATATAAAATATGATAGTGAAGATGAAATTTTTAGGCGGAAAACAAATTCCCAATTTATCACACCCCTGGTGAACATACCAAGATAAAAGTAAACATTTTATAAAATGGAAACACTATCGAGTATATAGTCCATATATTGAGTATCTAATTTCAACAACCTACATTGCATAAAACTAATATACCCTTTTCATAATTTACTTATATCATTTTTATTTATTTTATTTACTTAGAGTAAGTTGTCATTAGGTCGTGGTAAATGCTGAAATTATATCAATGGAGGGACAATACAAACTTTTTCAAAATACTAGAACCATTTTCTCTTAAAATTTCAGAGAACTTTATGATAACCTATAGTATAGACCTTTCAGAGCTATAATATAAATAAATATAAAATGATTTAGTTTAAAAGAGCTATGAAATTAGAAAATCGTATACTACAAAATTCTAGAAAAAGGTTCTCCTTATAAAATACATCCTAAAGAAACTATATTTATATAAGCTGAAAAATTAACCCCTAAAAATGTTATTCATAGCTCTTATAACTACACATGTATATATCATATATAATTTCTAGCCTAGGCATCTCTCTCACTCGGTTCACCCACACTAGGATCTGAAAATAAAAGCAAAATGAAGATTGTTGTTGTTGTTGTTGGGGAAGGCACAGTTACTATAACTTATATTTCTTTGTAGCAGGCTCTAATTAAACTAAAACAATTCGGTTTGTGTGTTTCAAGCTTTCATTTTCCATCGTTTTTCGGTTTAGTTTTTGTCACTTTACTTTTGTTTTTGTTTTTCTTTTTTATTGTTTTGCTGTTTTAATTTGAATATATATTTTTGTATTTACAATTTTTAATTATTTTATTTTTACGACTCTTGTGTTCGGTTCTCAAGTCAAATAACAGTTGCAATAAACAAGCGTTCAACTTAATTGCTCTCATTTAATATAATTTACAAGAAAAACTTACTTAAAGCTAAGTCTGCCTTTGTTTAATATTTACGTTTGCTGTGCTTACTTTTTCTTGTTTTGTTGTTGTTTGGGTTTTCTTTTATTTTCGTTAACTTTTACTAGTGAGAATATTGTTTGATTAAATTATACATCGTCTTGTTTATATATATCAGTTATATATATAGCGACTTCTATAGATATACATATGTATATATAATTTCTGTTCTGTTCAATTTTTATGCTGGGTGCTTAATGATTTCTTTTGCATAATTTTTTTTTTTATGATTTCTATTTTTGTTTTTTATATAAATAAAAAATATAATAATTTTGTTTTTCGTTTCGAATAATACATATATGTATATATGCCATACAAAGAAAATACGTTTTTGTGTGGGTGGCTAGGGAGGGGAATCTGTGTATATTATGATTCTCATAATTTATGATTAGATGTTAACCACGTTAGACCCTCGTAGAGCCCGTCACCGCTTGTGGCACATGATGGCTGGACATACCAATTGCGATCTCTTATTCTAGTTAAGCCTAGTTTTTCCTGGATTTCATGGGGTTTCATTGCTGCAAAAGAAGACGTATATACATAAATTAAAAATAATTTAATAGTTACTATAGTGAATGTATAGACATTACCATCAGCTAGATCCTGTTTATTAGCAAATATCAGTATAATGGCATCGCGCATCTCTCTATCATTAATTATCCTATGCAGTTCAGTGCGCGCCTCATCTATTCTATCCCGATCAGCGCAATCCACAACGAATATCAGACCTTGTGTGCCTGTATATGACAGATAGATTTTTAGATTTATTGTATTTACTTTATGTTTATTATGGTCTGTCTTACCTGTATAGTAATGCCGCCATAGCGGTCGAATTTTATCCTGCCCGCCAACATCCCAGACATTGAATTTAACATTCTTATACGTAACGGTCTCCACATTAAAACCAACCGTTGGTATCGTTGTTACTGATTGACCTAGTTTCAGTTTATAGAGAATCGCTGCAAAAGTATTAAATATATCATATATCATTGAATGAAGTTGATCAAATTACAATCATAACACTTTAATTCTTATTTACTACGGGGAAATAAATACAATACGTATTGGATTAAAGTCAAGTTTACTTCCATTGACAGTTTTTAAAAGTATGAATATAATTATAATACGATCAAAAATCAAAAATATAAAATAAAATAATACATGTAC